TTTAAAAAATATCAGTGAAGAGGCAAATAGTTAAGCCTTGAACCTGGCATTGTAAATTTTAACATATCTCTATGGTAAAGTAATATAAATTACCACACGCAGTGAAACTTGTTCTGGATGGGGCCTACTTTCTCCAGTGGTTACATTTACTCAATACAGCAGGGGGACAGATCCTTCCAAGTTTTGAGCCATCCATGGTGATACCATGGCCAGTGTTTATGTTTATTGATTATTCACTGAAGTGACATGAAATTAAGGTATTGGCATCAGATGCTGGAGAGTTTTCCAACTTGTATATATTCGTATACTTCAGGTTATACTGGAAAAAATAACCTGTAGTCAGAGCATCAGCATCTGAAGTTTCCTTTGCAGATGCTGGAGATCATCTTCTCAAAAGGTTAAACATCACTGTAACCCGGTCATTTAATGTGGGGGATGGGGCATTTTATTTAGATATAATCACATGCCATTGAATTCATCCATTGAAAGTCTACAGTTTTTTGTCTTTTAGTATAGTCACAGAATTGTGGAACCCTCACTGCAATTAATTTCATGATATTTTATCACCCCCCCAAAGAAATTATGTACCCTTTTAGCAGTCACCTCCCATGCCTCCCGGCGCCTCCCGCAGCCCCAGACAACCACTAATCTACTTCCTGTCTCTATAGTTTCTTATTCCATTATTTAATATAAATGAAATGACACGCCACGTGGTACTCTGGCTTATTTCACTTACTGTGGTATGTTCAAGGCCCATGTATGTTGTAGCGTGTATCTGTACTTCATCACCTTTTAATGTATCGTATGCATAAATGCCACATCAACTGACAGACATTTGAGTTGTTACCACTTTTTCTGTATTGTGAATATTAATTATGTTAATATTCATGTATTTTTTTGTGAGTATATGTTTTTATTTTCTTGGCTATAGACCTAAGAGTGTAATTGCTGGGTTGTTTAGTAACTCAGTGTTTAACATTTGGAAAAATTGCAAGACAGTTATCCAAAGTGACTACACCTGTTTACTTTTCCACCAGCAGGGCATTCAGGCTCTGATTCCTCCACCTCCTCACCAACACGTGTTATTATCTACTTGTCTCTGATTAGCACACGTAGCCATTCTAATACATGTGGAGTGCTTGGTATCTGCTTGTTTTGATTTGAAATTCCCTAGTGACTAATGATTTTGAAAAATTTTTTTCTTGGGCTGATTGGAAATTGGTGTGTCTTCTTTGAAGAAATATCTATTCACATCCCAGTCATTTAATTTTCAGACCTATTTTCAAATATGAATAAATCTCAAAGGTAAGGAATTAGAAATGAGGAATATGGAGAAAAATGAGGAAAGAATTGGGTTCCATAAAGTCCTCTCCCCTGTCTCATATTTTTGCACATTGAATAACTCAGTATTTATTTCTTACCACACTGGCTTAAATTTAAATAGGTTTTTTTAAAAAAAAACAACATTTTTTTCTGCCTCAAAATGAAACTTTGAATGTTAAAAAATCTAGAGGATTGCTTTTATTTGTTTTTCTTTCGGAGTGAAACCCTTTGTTAGAGGAACCCAGTTGCTGTGTGACATGGAGAGACAGATGGTTGTTCTAGATACTGGAATATAGTCCAAGATGCTAGACCAGGATGTTTTTCTCAGATTCTCCAGGGAGACTAACAAGATGAAAATAACACCTCAGTCCCGTAACATTTCAGAAGCAAGAGAAGAGTCAGCCAGAACACTAGCTCTCTCCATTGTTCTTGTCTGAGATATAGCCACTAACTACCTGTGAATTGAGAAACAGAAGAATGATTCCTAAAATTGTGGAATATTTTATAGAGAAGGTATAGCACTTTGCACCACAGGGGTAGGTTATGATGTACCTTTCTGCTGTGTTTCTACTAGTGCCTCTTCCTGCCTTTAACCAGAAGCAAGGGAGAAACTATTAGAGTTCAAAGAGATTCAGCACAACGGTCCAAACTATCCCAAGTAGAAGGAGAAAGAAATTGAGATAAATCAACCAACTGAAGCTCCAGTTGAAGTTTTGCTAAAATGTAAAGGTATATCAAAGAGAAGAAAATGTTAATTCATGGCAATATTTCTCACCCTCGGTTATACTTGATACTTCTATGCTGAGGGAAGAGACCATGTCCAGCCCTTGAGTACACTGATGATTCTCCTGAACTGATGGCTTGTTGAAACCCAGTGACTCCCCAGCAGAGGCTGCCCTCATTCAGGGGTGCCTTCCCCCTTGCCCTGTCCTCATAGGATTATGTAACGAGATGATCATTTCCGAATACTAAAAAGCTGTAATCTTTACTCATAGCAGATCCTTGCAGCATTAAACCCATTGAGGAGGTCTGTTTTTAGCGTCCTGTTTTCTTACTCTGTCTTCTATAAACTTTTCCCTTCCTATTTACTGAGCATTTTCAGATGAAAAGCCAGGACATCCATCAGCAGTGATCTTCCTGGGAGTCTTAATGGTGGGGAGAAATGAGACGAGAAGGCTAGGAGGCCGAAGCAGAGATCAGAGGCAAAAGAGAAAGAGGACAGTATCTGGGCTTTTATTATTCCTTAATTTAAAATTAATGTAACTACATGATAGGAAATTGGGGGAAATTAAAAAAAGAGAAATGATATCCTCTTCCTCCTAATTCCATAATTATAATACAACCACTTTAATTCTTGTACGTTTCCTTCAGCCTTTTGTTCTACATATTTTACCTGGTTTATGTAAATCTTATGTTTCTATTTAATATATGATCACCAATTTTCAACCTTGTTAAAGTCTGCTTTTCTTGCAGTGATTTGGGAGTACAACCATCGTTTTAATGGCTGTATAATGTTCCAAGTAGAAACAACAGAATTTAATTAGTTTTCCTTAGCGTGATAGAGTTTTATATGTAGAAATAAAGAAACCGTATTAAGAGCATAACAATAGAAATAGTCAAACCAAGAAAAGACAGAAAGTTTTCAGAGCAGAATTCCTTCCAGTTTTTCAAGGGTTAGACCTGCCACCATGGAAGAGTATAAAACATAGTGAAAACTGAGCATATATAATCAGTCAGTTAGTTTCATAATCAAAGAGTTTAAATTAATGGGATACACTTAATGATATGCAAAATTCTAATAGTCCTTTATGATAATTAGACATAAATAATAGATGTTGACATAGGTGACTCATAAAGTAATTAGGGATACTTTTACATAGCTAAACAGGTTCTCCACGTTCCTCTTCTCTTAGTTCTCTGGTATTACACTTACAATCATTGTCAATGTCAAGTATTATTAATTACTTGTCTTATCTAGTGGTACCAGAACACATCTCCCCCAAAATGAAACTTCTCTTAGTCCCATGTTCATGTTATTTAACACTGAGAAGACCTGTGAGATACAACGTGAAGAACACAGAGGTAGTATAGTTCCTGATTCCACATAACTTTAGAGATGAGCGCCCCATGTATTCACTACTCATTTATTGATTTACTAAAAGAATAACAGGAAATAAAGCTTAAGAAGTAAGTTGGGGAAGGGTTGGGGTATGCCTTTCATTTCAGGGTAAAGGGTTTGAACTTGATGTCAGAGGCCACAGGGAGCCAACAGAGGCCTCTCAGCAAGGTTTAAATATCCATACACATTTATAAAATTTGCAGACACCACATGCTGAGGAATGTGTGGAAAATGGACTGTGGTAGAAGAGATTTGTGGCAAGGCTTTGAGTCAGTAGGAGACATTTGAGAAATGCCAAAGACAGGAAAGCAAGGGGCTGCTAGAAGACTCTGGCAGCAGGAAGGAATTGAGAGAAAAAGAGAGAACCCCTAAGTCTGTAATTTAGGAGGTTGGCTCGGTGCTGCAGCGAGCAGGGAAGAAGGAAGAAGAGGCGTAAGGAATCAGATATTTTCTGCTTGTACTTGAATTTGAGCAGTCTTGGGACACACTACTGGGACCGTCCTGTTTTTAAGTAGTAGATTAAAATGGAGGGGGAAAAACAAGCCGTTTTAAACATTAAGAAGAAAGAGACAGAAACGAAGCCACCCTCGTCCTGCTGGCAATGTCTCAAGAAGCACTGAATGCTAGACGGTGCTTGACCACAGCAAAATGACCAAGAGTGGGATCCGAACACAGACCACAGAAGTCACCAATGAGCCCAGCAAGTGGAGTCTGAGAAAGTGCTGGTGTTACACCCAGACATTTATAATAACCACTTACTGTTTTCTGCGTGCCAGGTGCTGTTCCAAGCATAGATTATCTCATTTAACTTTCCACAATCCTGTGATGTATTTTCTATGATTTCCTCCAGTTCACAGATGAGGAAACAGGTCTGGAGGACTGAGGAATATGGAAGTCCACCAGGTAATTCAGAGACGGCTGGGGATCAAAGCAGGCAGATGCCCCAACCCATGTTGGGCCTCCCCTCACTGAGTAGTGGGTCGGAGAGTACAAAGGTGCTGGGGAAAGAGAGACACAAGCGGTACATCCCTTCTAGGACATGGTAGGTTGGGCGACAGAGGCTAAGGGAGCAATCCATTACCTTTCTCAGGAAGGAGGGATGGACCTGGGGCTGCGTCAGTGTCTGAGAACTGGGGAGAAGCTGGTGAGGGACAGAAGA